TGCGTCTCTGCCTTTTTGCCGCTCGACGAGTCTCCTGTCGCACACCCGGTTCTTCTTGTGCCTTGGAAACCATTGCTGATCACAGTAGCGCGTGTTCTTCGCATCATAATACTTTCCCAGTAATTGTAATGGTACCAATAATGATGTTTCTCTGGGTGAGAAGTACAAGTGCGTTTTGGAAAAAGAGAAGTGTTCGATAAATGGAGCACAATAAACACAATTAATAATATTTAAAACTTATTTGTTTGAACCCAGTCAGACTAATCTAGAAATGAATTTCACAACCTTTGAAGGAATTTCGAATTTGCAGGTAGGTTGAACTCCCTTCCTTCATAAACCTCAAGTTTTTCTTTTTTCGATAAAACAATTTTTACTTCGAAAGGGAGGAAGAATCATTTTGTTGACTCAGTTCTCCTGAGAGAAGTGTTGTGGATCGCTAAAGCCTCCTGTTCAAACTTCACATGATTGTTCGTCAGTTCCTCGTTTTTAAATACGTTTCACGATGTACAAATAAGAATAAAAGAGAACAGAGCATGACTGTGATCAATTTTTCAAAAAATCATAACCCTCTGATTCGGTTAAGAATATGTTAACAATGGTTTTTTTTTACTTCTGTCGCGAGGTTTGTTGCTGAACCTTTACTTCGGTCAACGTTTTAGTTGCTTCTGTTTGAACCTCGGATACTGTACGTCTCTTCCTTTTTAGCATTTCTGACGGCATATCAGAGTACGTAAGGAATATCCAGAGATCTAAGGATAAGTTAACATTGGGTTCCACCATGTAGTGTAATCAGTTCAAGATTAGGGAGCGTGGGATCGTAATAGTGACACTTGGAAACAATGCGACCCGCACATTGACTTGCGGGAGCCAGCCTGCTAAAAGTGGCTCTTTTTTATCCTCCTAGGCGAGTCCAACTTAAGCCCAAGCCCGGAAGGATGGTGAGCATGTCCTGACAAGTTTCGATCTGAGATTTGAACCCCAGATCGTATGCATGAACGGCGTCACCATGTCAAACGCATACCACTCCTGAACCAAGTACATTATGTGTTCGAATACGAATACGGCTAGATGAATTGTCGCTAACTAGTAATGCTTCGTGTAATGAAGTTTCGATGCCGATCCTGATCTCTAAACGGCTTAAGCGCTAGAACGGGCCAATCAGTAATGATTAATTCTGAGCAGTACCTAACTTGAGGGCGGAAGTGGTGCAGTGACAAGTGGCGCGCTCACCACGCGAGCGGTCCGGGATCAAATCCTGGGTCGTGAGTCGCCCGGGCCAACCAAGCCTTCCATCCCTCCGGGGTCGGTTAATTGGTACCAGACTTGTCTGGGAGGATAAAAAACACTGACTTGAACATCGGCTGGCCCCCGCAAGTCATTGTATAGGCCACATCGCATTCAAATGCCACTGCGAATGTACAAATGGAAGTAGAATGCGTGCCGCATCCCAAAACGGGATTGATCAACGGCAAATGCTTTATCCTTTTTATTTATCTACTTTAAAGGACTTACAATGAAAATTCGTTGTCCTAAGATAGTCGTTACGGAAATATTGGTAGCGCTGAGAAATTTGAGAGGTCCTTATTTGCTTATTGTAGGATTTCAAAGGTTGGGTTATACCGCTACGGTTACAAGGCTTCTGTCAACCAAAGGGTGAGAGCGTAGCTGGAAAAGCACACACTTTGTGTCTTATTGGGACTAAGCCTTTTGAAAGAAGATAAAGAAAGAGGAGATGCTGTGATAGTGTGCACTTGTGAGAGCTCCCAGAATTACTACAACGCTGAATTGCCAAGGCTTATGGTTGACAGATGTCCTGAGACCATACCGCTATGATTAGCGAATAACACTAGTAGTGTTGCGATGGGCTTATAACTTTATGTGCTGTCTTCATTTTTCCGCGATCTGTTAACGGAGAGAGGAAATTTTTAGAACACGCATTGATTCTGTCAACTGCCAGCGAAGCTGTCATCACGTGCGTCATTTGTAGTCACGTTGGCTGGCGAGGGAGCAACGCTTGGTCGCCGAGCTAGCCAAGATTCGGTGGTGTTGGGGATGTTCAGGGTTAAGATGACAAAAGATGTTTACTTGCCTGGTTCTATATCGATCGTTTAGTTCCTTTCCTGCTCCCATGGCGCCTTGATGAGCCAGTGGAGCTCCGTCTTCCCCTGAGCCTAATTCGCTCCTTCTTCCTGTAAGTCTGCAGCCAATTGCAGCCAAAGCTGCAGCTTTACTGTCTAAAAGAAGAACTAGGAAGAAAAGATGAGTATGAAGAAGAAAAGTATGTTGATCACGGATGGAAATCGACCGCTCCACAGATTTGGAACCAACAAATGTCTGAGCGGATAACGCGCTCCAATACATGGAATCTGTCCAAATCGAACGTGAAGGATGAGAAAAGCCGCATTGCGTGGTCCTGAGTTACGTTGCGCGCGAAGCGTGTCCCCTTCCGATATCGGTGCTCGGCACGGCGCTTCCCTTCTCGCTAATATAAGCTCCGAAATTTCATACGAGTTCTTTTCGAAGGCTTCAATTTAGTGCGATCGATGAGAAGGAAATTTCTACATCAGTAGAATTACTCTGTTTATCCGGTGTACAGACGATTCGCATTAGTTACTAGGAATCCGGCTGAGTGGTGAGTTGGCGTTAAGTTCTTATTGAATTCAAGTTCAAATAAGGACTTCTTTTGGATTGATAGAGGTTCCGCTTCACGTTTTTCTTTGTGATCGATTGAGTAATGTTGTTCTAACGCCAAATTTTTGAACTAAATGTACACGTTCATCGATTTATCGTTTTTCAATGTTTTCACCAAAGAAGGATGGGTGTTTTGTTGTGGCTGCTGTGTTTTGTTGCCACTAGCCTGAGATTTTTCTTTCTTTGAGCTGTTTTGTGGACATCCTTAACTAGAAAAGTTACCAATTAATGGTGGCTATGGCCTTTCTAATCAGAGCGCAGGCGCATGATGAGTGCTGACTGGGGATCGACAAAGCCTAAAAATGCTCGCCTTGTATCGATTTTTTGAGCGGCTTCGGAGGGGTAGAGCACCTGAAAAAAACGTATTTGAATCTGACGATTTCCCTTCGAAATCTTAATAGTGCCTATTGGAAGTGTAGAATGCTCAGCACCGCTTTGAGTTTCCGGATAAGGTTTTTCTTGTTTTGTACTGGTGAAGATTTAGTGGATCCTTTCATCAAAATGTGACACTAAAATCGACACTCAAACCATTTCGGTGACAAACCATTTCATAATCTTATCTCATGCAATATATAAAGCTTCTCTCCTCTAGCTTCCAGTAAAATTGTGTGAGTTGTGTTTCCAACGAATCTCTAATTATTCAAATGTCTTGAAAATATATTTTTCCCACTTTCCGTCCTTTTGAAATAAACACGCGCTCGGTTGAACATCAGCAACAAAACTGAGAGCCTTTGGCCTTGGTGAGAATCGGAAAGGTTACCAGGCCGGTAAGGCTCTAGGAAAATTAGGGATAGTCGATGTAGCCGATACTATTGTTTTACCATTACAATGATGATAGCTAAGAATACAGAAATAAAGTATCATACAAATAGAAAATGCATTTAAAAGGAAACTCTTAGCCATTACTTAGCTTCCAGTCAGTATAAAATTACCTGTGAAGAAAAATATTTTCTTTCATGAGGTTATTTTTTTAGTTTTCACAGTTCTATTTGTTGTCAACGTTTTTCTACAAAAACACTCTAAGCCATCTGGTTTGAAGGGAAAAAATATAAAAAAATCCGAAGGGTTTGGGGGCTTCACTTTGTTCTGAGTTCACCCCTGGTCCTCCATTATATTACTGGAACATTTGTCAGGCCAAATGCCTCCAGATGTCGCGTGAACTGTATCTGGTTAAAGATTAATACTTTGCTGTAAAACAGATCTTACCACATTCAATTACAGCTCGCGTGGATTACATGTTGTGGCAAGTATTTAGTTGTTCAAAGTCATCTAATGATATTAGTGGCTTACGCTAATGAACTTACGTGATCCGTTTGCTGACAAGCCACTTCTGTTTTCCACTTACTTCTTATCCCTCCTTAGTGTTTAGGAATTTTTTCTAGCCTCATGTTCTTCTTTCCAGATGCGAGAATCCTCAGCGCGGAGTTCGTCAGTCTCGTCGACTGGACGATCTCCAATCGTTGGTGGATTTGGTATGGACGCCCGATTTCCTGGACGACCTCCAGGCTGGCGGACCTCCGCCGCAATCTATGCCGCCACCACCGCAACCGTTTCCCCCAAATGGTGCCGGCGCCCCGCCGCCACCTCATAATTTACTGGCGCATGCACGGTTACCAACTGTTATACGGTTTTCATTGTTCTTAACCTAAACGTTAATGCTGGATGTGATCGTGATGGGATATCCTTCCCACTTGCTTCACTACGCTACTTACATTAGCGTTAGGACTCCGAAACATATTGCTTTCGAATTGCGTGAGAGCATGTGGGACCGTTTGCGAGACGGCTCACGCTCGACGCGGATATGTCTCGTTCGTTTAGAAAAAAAACACATCCATAGATGAACAAGAGTCAATCAACAGCGAATTTGACCCTATTCTTGAAGGATAACTGATATGCTTCGCTAAGTAAAACTATAAACAAATAGTTTTCTCTAATATTCTAAAAAGGATTCAGATATCACATTAATAGCTGTCGCTATATATTGTTATCATTATTCTGCCGAATTTCTCCAATTTTCTTCATGTCAAATTAGTGTCATTACGAAATAAGTTAGTATGTTGAAGGAGGCATCAGTACCTTAAACTAGGGATGTTCCAGAAGTCAAAGGGCAGTGGAATAAGTAAGTAGGGATCGAAATGGATCAACGACCAAAGCAGGCGATTATGCTTAACGATCATTTAAAGAAGAACTCTTGCAAGGAGTGCGTAGGCAAGACCCCCGCGCTGTTTGCCTCATTCTTTGCCACTGATCGGGCACTAGCTACTGGCTAAACCATCGCAGAAGTGATAAACACAAAAGTTTCACCTCATCCTAACCCTCCATTCCACTTTCGGGGGATGACAATATCCAGTTGCTGTGAATCGGAAGTTCACCCGACGCTACCACCTGAGATTTGTAGCAGATACCTGGGCACAGCCGATGCACCACCGCAAGCTGTCTGAATGAAACGGGCTGTAGCAGAATGAAGTTTCGATGGGAACGGCATGCATCTCTGACCATGACCGAGAAGCAGACCTGACCATCTGCAGAAATTTCATTCTGCGCAGGCATAGCCTGGACTTTCCCTAGTCGGTCACCAGTGGAGATGAGTCATGAGTCCACTACGACAACAACACGCGGCACGCCTTATGGCTATCTCGCAGCCTGAACCCACCATCTCACCCAAAACCCGACCCCTTTCGTCAGAGAATATTATCCCCCAATTGTTGGCTGTCGGTAACCGCCTCATCTTATATAGACAACCACTGCGAAGATAACCATGGAAAAACTCCCGAGGTTGGCCGCAGCAGTGCGAGAGAACCATTCGAAACGTCTCAAAATCTCCTTCTCCGGATGAACGCCCGACCTTACATTGCGAAGATAACTCGCCACCTTCTGAGGGAAACTGGCTGGATCGCGATACCACATTATCGTATAGCCATAACATTACTTCATCGCACTATCCCCTTCTCGATGCCCTGAAGCAGTACCTTCGAGAGAAAGATGTCATTGAATACAACCACCCAAAAAACGACCTCTCCGAACTCTTCAACCCATAGCTCCACTCGTTTTGAGAGGAATGCATCCATTCGCTGCCTTGCAAAAGGAACGCATATCAGCGATTGTGACGGTGGTTATATTGTTGATTCAGTTTTCTCCAAAAGCAAAACTCAATAATGAAAGTTCGAAATCTCGCCAAAATTAGGATCACCCATACCATTGTAATGCTCTTCTTTCCGCCTCAAGATAGAAATACTTTCCCTTCACTGGATTAGAGAGAAATAGTCCTATATATAAGGGACGGTATTGATCGAATTGATGTGTTATTTCGTTCGAAAATGAAACATAAGGTGCGAAGAGGATCATCAATGAGCAGAAAAGCAAGAAAAAAAATATGAAAAGTATTTAAGTTGTGCGCTTCCATTTTGTGACTTCAGCCGTGTAGCGACGAAAGAAGTAAGCGCATCGGGGAAATACAATATACGAGAGAGCGCCCTGAACCGGGGGGCGCAGGCACTGCGCACGCAGCGAGTGAAAATGGCAGCGGCCGCAGCGGTCAAGGCGAGACTTTGCGCCCTTGCCGCGCACTTTCACGTCGCGACAGTAAAAAAAAAAACTTCTGTGCCTAGTCTGCCAACACTGCTCGTGGGAGGGTAGCCCAAATAAGAAAATATGTGATGTGAGCCGTAACCTTAGCCACGTTACCTAAGCTAGTTTCACTCAACATAACATTGCCTCTCTCTCTCCTCGGCTTGAATAGCCCCGTGCCACGACCCAGATGGGAAGTTCTAATAAACTACAAACATGGGCACAAAGTACGTTACTTTACATATTTACAGATTCATTATTTCATCGCTGACCTGCTTTCACAACAGCTTTCCGTTTCGATATCGATGTCGTAATTCATTGAATAGTAAACGTGGGACATTCAAGCACTGCAACATGTGTTTGAAAGCACAATCTTAATACCGTCTGCTCATATTTGCATTCAGCTGCCCCAACAGCCTGTATCAATCCGGTGTGTACTAGTTCATGTTCGGTAGCAATCATCGGTGAATCAAGACTACTTTCGGTAGTAATATTCATATACAATAATCGACGAGGATTTGAGGCAAGATTTTTCAATGAGGCTCAAGCGCGAACCGGCAAAGTTTTGGTTTTACATGCAAAATTTTGCTAGCCTAATACCACAGCACGCATTAATTTTGTGAAATTTAGCTCAGTGTACCTTCAGGCTTTTTCAAAACCCTATATGATGATACTCAGAAACAATGGTGTAAGATTAGTTGTTCAGACTTCACATCCTGGTGCAAATCAGCCGTTTGGCGGTCAACCAATGGCAATGTCGCCGTCTTCCCAAATGATGCGATCTGGTATGCCGCCAGCGCCTCAACGACAGGTAAGGGCATGTAGTAACAAAATAAATACGGTCCATGATCGATATTTGTTGAATTTGTAGAATTCCGCCAGTGGAGTTGGTTGGCAAATGCAAGGGCCTGGACAACAGCGAGGTCCACCGACACCATCTCAACAAATGGATTTTCAACCACAACCACCACCAACATCTTCGCAGGTGAGTATCCTCACAGCAGGACATGCTTCCATTTGTTTCACATCGCCCACACCGCTCAGAGCGAAACCATAGACGAAAAAACTGGTGGATTTCTCATATTTCAAATCTATGAGCCACTTGTTCTGGTTTCAAGTCCATCGCTCAAATCTCACATTTCATTCATTTTTCTTTTACATCTGCCACTTGTCGCCTGGCACATCTTGTAGCCCGCTTTTAAGCAGCTATCCTGCTATTGTTCTTTTTCTGATTCTCATTACTCATCTTTTCCTTCTTCCACCTTTCCTTTCCCACTATGAAAGTAGGCTTTTCAAGTCTCTGAGTTGCCTTGGTCAAGAAACAATGCCCAGAGAGTCCTGGTTTTCACTGCTCAAGAATGTTTTTTGTTTCCGAACCGTCTAGATTTTAATTCCTTTTTAATTTCCTCTCATTGTTTCTCACTTCCATTCTTCCATGAGTCCTCTATTTGACTACATTAAGACCTTTGTGTAATTTGACTCTTTTTCATACCTTTTACATTCCCTTTCAAGGAATTCGTGCTTTTCCTTGCCGACTCATTTTTTTCTTCATTTTTTTGCTCTTCTCAGATTTCGTCTCATATTTCTCCAATAGGGGTCGTGTGGTATCTTTCTGAGGAGGGACCAAAAAACCTTCAGAATTTCTGTTCTCCCATCCAGGATTGCTCTTAGGAAGAGCATTCGTATAGAATTTGTCTATGTGAAAGACAAAATAAAAACAAAAACAAATAAAAACAAAAGCGTGCTAATGTTAGAAGCTTGTTTGCAGAATCAAATAAATTCAAAAAGGTATTCATTCTCCTTCTCCCTAGGGAAGAGCATACGGTCCTGGATTTGCTTTTTGCTCCGCTATCGCAAGACGTGTAATTAAGGTTGATCTTCGTTCGGCGCCAATGCCATTAGGTGCAGGTCCTGTCGTCATTGATGATATGAACTTCCCAAAGGATGTGCAGGATGAGGCCAACATGTACTTCGAGCAGGTATCTTTTTTGAGTAGTATTGGATCATGCATTTTTTCTATCGATTTTATTTGTTTTTTTTTTCAGATTTACAACCAGTCATCTCTTGTGGGTGATTTGATAATGCGCTTGAAGGGTTTGAAGATGTCGCAGAATCCTCGAGATCAAAAGGCAAGTACCGTGCCGTGGAGTTTGGTGATCTCATCGAAATTGCTTGATGTTTAGGTTCTTGCGTGCGTTGTGAAAAACCTCTTCGAAGAATATCGATTTTTCCATGAATATCCTGAACGTGAATTGCGAACTACTGCTGAGATCTATGGTGGTATTATAAGGGAATAACAGGGTGAATTATCATTTTGCTGAGATCAAATTCTTTCATTATTCTATAGTTATAGTTATTATCTTCCATATATTGTCTTTCAAATAATAATAATAATAATATAATGATTGTTTTACAGTAATCTGCATTTTGCAACTGCTGTACGAAAAGTGATTGAATCTCTGCAGTCAGAAGTTGGTAGTATGTTGTGGACTTTTGCTGTTCATTGACAGTTGTCGGTCGAGTTGTGTCTTACCGAAGGTAGCGTTTGGACTTCTTTTATGTTGTTCGCTCTTTTGTTTCTTTTTTTGATTTTTAATGCTTTCTTTCTTTCAGGTTGCTCAATGATGACAACACGAGATTTCTGACTTGTTTTCCGCAAGGTGCTCAAAAGAAGTGTTGGCGGGGTGAAGGGAGAGCTCCCGTCAAGCATGGCCCACACAATGGACTCGAGTGAAAGGCACCACCTCTCAGTTGGACGCCAGCACAACGATCTTCGAGCACAGAAAGTGCTAAGGTAGGACACTGGGTACGATTTCTGTAACATGATTGTACTGTAGTGCCAAGCTAAAGCGCTATCGAGACGCAATATTAATAGAGAATGAGGAAACTACCTCTATGGCCGGTATGAGATGGGCGAGCTTGTTTTTGTCGCTCTTGTTATTTTTTATTGAGTGAGATTGGAGCGCTGCCAGGCATTCAACACGCGATATCGAACACAATTTCGGTTTCTTGTTTGTCATGGCTAGCTGTGTCCGCATCCAAATTAATGGGACGGCGAAGTTGATGATGAAATGAAGCTTACAAGGAAACGATGGCAAGGTTGAAAAGAAAAAGTGGTTGGAAACCTAAGGGCTTGTTTCTACTTGAGCATTTCCGTTGCAATCTTTTTGAAATTAATACATCCATGTCAGTGCCTGGTAGTCGCCTGCCATCCATTTGTCATAATTTATTGCTGTTTTGATATCCAAACAGTTAGCGCTTTACAGAATTTACAAGATTAGTAGAATTACTTTGCGCTAGTTAGGTTTTCTACGTTTTTTCTCGTCATTTACTACGCAGAATCTACGGATGGGGGTAAGGCGGCAGCAATATCGCGCCCATCCGACCAAAAAGCGAAAAATGGCGCCGTGAATGTGTTAATCACACCAAAAGGCAAGAAGAATTAGAGATCGCTGAGAGTGCATGATGTCGAAGGGAGGATAATCCAACAATTGCGCAAAAGTTTTGACCCTGCGTTAGTTTTTATAAGAGGAATGTTTGATTGATAACTTGTCACCTGTAACCGATATCGGATTTCGTACGCGAGAGGAAGGCAAATAAAGAAAGGGTATCCTGATTGATGTGTTTGCCTACTTGTCAAACTCATTTTTCTCCTGTTCAGCAAAAAAAACCCTCTCCAAGTTCTCGCTCGCATTCAACGGAGTTGTGTCCATCGTTTTCGTTACTGGCTCGGTCGGCTGCTGGTATTTCCTTAAAAACCCCATTGAGAAACCTATCGATCAAAAGGCGTTCCAATTTTGAACATGGCCGAAACGCGTATAAGCTCATCACGGTTTTTTCGAAAGGCACATATTGCGATTGCCTTGTGTTATTGTAGCATTCGCCTGAAAATGAAATAGTGGTGCAGAGCCGAATGCCAGCGAAGGAGAAGAAAAAGAGAAATATAGGTTTCATTGAGACTAAGGGCCTTTTCTTGGGTTATGGACAAATCTACGAAGAACAAATACTGGGTGCTGGGAGAAGAGAGCATAGAGACCATCAAAACGTGGATACCAGCGTATTCACAACAACGGGCGACCGTAGCTCCTCGATTTCCACAGTAATCACACGGTTGGACGGCCGAAACCTCCAGTGCGAACTTCGGGCACCTTTGCCATGCCCTTTTGAATCGCGAGAGTAGATTTGCCCACGAAGTTGCACCCCCAGTCCATTTCTTTACAGAAGGCAGGGATTTCCTGAGATTGTTTTCATTTTTTTTTGCTTCTGGGAGATCTTCTGCAAATTGTAGGAGTGTGAAATTTTTCATATTGTCAAAGCATGTAGAATTCCATATTGTAGACATTTTCAGGCAACTTCGAGCAGTACTAGTGTTGGAAGTACAAATAGAACCGTGAGTTTTCGAATGTTGTTTCTTATCTTGTCGTTCATTAGTTGTTAAATTGGAAATTTATATTGATTGCTCAAATAGGAGAATGTCAGAAAGTGTAATTGT